CCCCAAAACCCCAAAACCCCAAAACCCCTAAATACCAGCTAAGGACTGAACAGACATTAATTAAGCTACAAATTTAAATGGATCCTCCCCTAAGTGACCCTGAAGAGCCTGAAAAAGAAGTAGGCTACGACCCTGAGTTTATTGCCCAAGTAGAAGAGAAATGTATGCAGTTTGACCCCCATGTAATGATCATGGTGGGGTATAACATGCATAAGTTTGAACAGAATTATCGAAAAGAGAGCTTTATAGAACTTGCAAAGATCCTTCAAGAGTTTGTCTCCAGAGAAGCAATCAAAAAGTCTGAATACAAGAAAGTCTTCAGAAAGCTATTCGAGCAAGACAGCTTAGCTGAAGTACTTTGAATTAAAAGTTTACGAAGCATGAGGAAAGAATTTGAAGAGAACAACCCTCAGACCGTCCCCATCAACTCAATTGAGGAAGAAAGCTCTTACTCTCTAGGAGAAACTCATGAGAATACTCAGTCATTTCAGGCTTTTGAGGCTCCACAAACTATAGCAAAAGATACAGGTTTCACCTCCCAAATCTCAGATACTGGGTCTGGAGGAGGTTGGAAAAATGAGCCTGAGGTTTACCAAGGATTCCCTGGTTTCTCCTCGAAGCAGCATATTGCTACTGAAAGTGCCAAACCCCAAATCTTGAGACCTAAAGAAGCATCTATCTCTAGCTTCAATTCGAATCAATATCCTCCAAATTTCTTGGATACTAAGAAAGGCAACTCAGAGAGAGAATACCGCCCGATAGCACAGACTACTTCTAAGCTGACAACTGCTGAGAAGCCAAGACGAGAGACAAGACCTGCACCTAATTTGGCCTCAGTTTCTGAGTCTAAAGCTAAGTCATTTGAAAAAGCTCCTTATGTAAGCCCTGAGCAGCCTCTTATTGACAAAAAGCAGCAAGAACTAATAGCAGAACAGAAATAAAATCCTTGAAGAATGTAGCAAAGCTAAACAGTTTGATAATGCTCCCAAATCCCTACAGAAAGCAGTGAATAAGGTACCTAACAATGGAGTCAAGAGGAAGAGGGCCAACACTAATCAGGTGCCTGCCTCTAGAGTGAATGAAGAGAACAAGAACAACAGAAGGCCTGCTCCTGCTTCTCAAGCCAATAACTTCAATAAGTAAGTGGTTAGACCAATATTTGCTACCCATCTAATAAGCCCCAAATTCGTGCAGCTGCCTTTTCATAGCTGAGGATCTTTACAAAAAGGTTGAAGAGGCATCGCCAAAGAGGCCTTTCTCACATCCTAATGTAAAAGAACTATTAGGCTTCTTTACCAAGTGCTGCTCACATCTTTACAAGCCCTGGCTAGGCTCCTTAGACTCCTAAATTCTCTCCATGATTCCCTTATTTTTGAGCAAGTAACTTTTTAACCTCCTGGAAGTCTGAAAAATTAGGACTAAAGTGAGGTACAAAATCTTAATTACTTTCCACCAGTTCCATGATAAAAGTCACTATTGATTCTCTAGGATTCAACAAAAGCGTCAAAGAGCTCCACCAAAGCAGCCAACTTCAACTAAAAGTGCACATATTCAGAGAGAGCCTGAGCCTAGGCCACCACCTCAGCCTGTAGAAAGTGATGCCTTAAAAACTATCTTTGGAAATATAGGTTCTGCGAAAAGACAAAAGCTCTCTGAAGGTTGAGTAAACCCTTGCGGGCAGTATACCCCAACTCAAGATAGTAATAGCCAATACCAAGCTAGGAACCAAGGCCAGAGCCGAGCTACAAACCCGGCTCTGTTCCAAGCTGCTCCTCCAGTTCATGCTGGTGAGGAGTACAAAGAAGTCCTTGCACCACGCAACAATGATAAAATGACTTACGAAGAAGTCATGAGAATAGCAGAGGAAGAAGAACAAAGGGAACTTGAGGAAAGAAGAAAGCGTGAAGCTATTGAAGAAAAGGAAAGTCTTAGAGTAATCCAGCAATTGCAGGAAGAACAACAGCGTGAAGCCTCATCAAACCCGAACAACCCTGTAGTATCAGAGCCTCCACAGCAAGAGTCTTCAGGGATCCCCAATTTTTTACTGTACGGTCAAAAGAGATAAATGTGTGAACCAAGAACAAGAGATATGAAATTAGCGGTAAAAGTGAAACAAAATTATATTCAATTCTCTCAGTTGCCAGAGGGGTTTTGGGGTTTTGGGGTTTTGGGGTTTTGGGG